ATACACTGTCACAGATACTTGAGTGTCTTTGAGTGAAGATTTAAGGTGATAGGAAATATAAATAACTGCAACTTGAATCTTTGACACAGAGTTCATGCTTCAGAGTTCAGATGTTCAGAGTTCATGGACCGTTGAGGCTGCGAACTTTAAGGCTGCAGACCCTGAATTGGGATACAGCCATCGACTGTGGAAACCTTGCAAGTGGATCGTAAAGGTTGTTACAGAGTCTTTCATGTCTAAATTTGCCGTTAATAATTATATAATTGTAGGAATCATCTAGTTTGCTTACACTGATTACGTTGGCACTTTGTTAGCGCTACAACAACGGTCAGACCCCCGAGGCATCTAAACTTTAGTAAGAATGTGCACTTTTGACACCTCTGGTTAGCATTTAGTGGTCAGTTTCAAACGTATTTGATTTTTGCTTGTTATGAACAAATTCACTTCACTACTTTTCACGATCTGTAACATCAATGCACATTGTTCCATTTACTGCATATTGCACTTTATTCATATCTCTCATTCCACCTGCAAAAACATTGTAAAGGTCGTCACAGAGAGTTTTATATATGTATAAATACTAATATTCTCTATTTATTCTGCTTTATTGCCCAGATGTTAGTTAGCCTTTGTTCAGTTGTCTTTTATATGTCAATAGATACGTATGTCACAAATAAAAGTTTCTTGTAAATTATGTTTTTGTAAAGAATTTTCTCCCAAATCTCTTACATGCTAACTGTAACGTGTTATTTCTGCTAAAACCTGAACTTAAATGTGTATATGGTGTTTATCTGTTTTTCTCTCTGTTTTAGATGCAAATATCAAATTGGAGTTCTGCCTCCAGGCCAGAATTGCAGGAATGCACCACGTGTTGGCTGTTTCACTGCCCTCTGTGCCCCACTCTCAGCCCTGCTGTCAGGGCAAAGATTGAGCAGCATATAAATGGACACATTCAAAGTGCTTTGCCTTTCAAAGGTATGTTGGTATTAAATATACCTCATAGTTAAAGTCATAAATATGCACTTCTTTTCAGCACCTCTGCAGGTCTTTGTTGACTTAAAAGTTATTTTTCACATTGTACAGTTCAGTTCATTCATCAGCGAGAGAAAAAAGTGTTTTCATTAAATATTTTTCCTGTTCACCACATTTCCTGACAGCTCTTGTGATCCACACCATTTTGCTTTCATTATTGAGGACGGCTTGGATATTTTTGTTAATATGTACAATCTGATTGTTAGATAAACTGACTGCATTCTATACAACTACATTTAAATTACATGTTTTTTCTTTTTTTCTCTCTTACAGACAAAATGATGTGCCGGTGCACTTTCACTGCCCTTCTGTAACATGACAGTCATACAGCGTGGGGATATGGCAAGGCAATTATTGTCATGTCAGCATTCAGGACTGCTCCCCACTGAACTCTCCGTGGAGCCTCGTCTCCCTCTCCATGTCTCGTCTCCAGCATCTAAACCATTTCCTGAATCTTGGGTAGAACATTCATGTGCTCCACCCTCTGTGCTAAATGAAACTGGGGCTTGTGGAAAGTCCATGAAAATGAAACGTCCTCACTGTGGTCTTAGTCTTCTTACAAAAAAACTTCAAGGCTCACATGATGAGGAGGCATTCAAACAGGTCAATAGATGTTTGCCTGGCCTGTCATCCACAGTGTTTTTGTGTAGAGGGACTTCTTCCTCTTTGTTTTTCAGTTTGCAGAGGACATGGAGCTCTTTTTAAAAGCATGTGCTGACGAGCAGAGACTACAGGTCAAAGCGATGTTTGACATTTAATGGACAGATGAAGGCACTGGCTGTTTGTTTGTGTTTTTTATCTGTTGTTTGTTTTTCAGTGTACAGAATTCCAGTTAAACTTATTATAAAATGCTGTTCACTTGTTTCCATACTTATAGTAAAAAATTTAAGTGTAAATGCAACAGCATTGTTTATACTTGTAACTTCAGAGTAAAAAGCTTATTGTTGATATTAACATTAATGTATTATCCTGTAATCAATAATATTTTTATGCATTTTACGCATTAACCCTCTGATCTCTATCCTGGCCATTTGGGGCCACTTCACTTCTCCTTGTTTGACTGCTACACTGCAGTGGACCAAAAGAATGACGCAGGTTTGATCTTAAGGCTCTAATAGTTGTGTGTGTTGTGCATGACATTGCAACGCAAACATGTATTTGCAAGATAGACTGGAATAAATTATGATGCATCAAATATTACACAGGCTGCAGTGAATTGTTGTTGATACAGGTTATTGAGCTTTGAGTTTCCCAGTCAAACGTAGCTTTGACACACATGCTAACACTCTTACTCTTGTACATTTCATAACAAGACACCAAAGCCAAAATATTAGCTCTCAAAAGAAATTCAAAGCTGCAGCTGCAGCACACACAGCAACAAACACTGTTAGTAAATGTGTCCTGGAGTTTCTGCAGGTGCAGAAAGTGCTGCTGCTGTAAGTCAGCCTAACAGCTTCCAGATCACTGATATTTCTGGAAAGATGGCAAGAAGGGCATCACAGCTCATTTCTACAATCTCCCAGATCTTGGAATACAAGCCCCTGTCCCATGAAAACCACTTCACAGTAGTAGGAGTCCACTAAAACCTACAAATGAAGAGTGATCCTGGAAGAAATAGGGCGCACACTAGTGACCTCAACAGTTGCAAGACAGCCTTGTCCCCGATGCTTATATGAAAAAGAATATGAAGATTTATGAAACCATTAGGACTTTATTACTGTTTTATCTGAAAAGCTACTGGTAATATTTAACCTAACTGGGATTTAAAGTGTAAAAAACAGAATGTAGATAAAATTTTGGTTTTGATGAAAAGGAGTGGAGCTTGTGAGCCACAATGTAAGCAGTGTTGCTTTGCTGACATGCACTCGATGCTGGCAGTACAAGCATTGTAGTGGTTCTTATATTTTTGTAAACTAACTGTATAATATATTGAGCCATTCAACAGTACACAAATGTTTATAAGCTCCTTTTTGTATGCAACCTGCATGTCTTTCTGAATTAATTGTTTGTTTATATCATGTTTTTCAGGAAAAAGAAGTTAAAGTCAAGTGGAAGCCTTGCTCAACATGGTATGTAGTAACAACTTTGTTGGACGGGAACAGACATTCATACTGTTGATAAATAGTTATCACCTCAATTTGAATTCATGTATTTGGACTAAACTAAATTGGGAGCTGTTAGCTGTCAAGCTGCTCCTCTGTGAGGAGCTTGATAGCTGTCCACCTCCAAAGTCCATTATGAGTTTTGGAGGTGGACATGGTCAAGACTTTTAAGAGTTGGCATAAGACTTCACTTCTTTATAGAGCTTATAGTTGGGGCTGGTTCAGGTCAGCCCTTAGTTATGCTGTCATAGCACCAGACTGCTGGGGGTTAGTGTCTACTCGTGTCATTGTATATATCCAGGAATATGTGCCTGAGGATAGTTGTCATGAAATCAATATTAAATCAAAGTTTTCCTTAATGACCACAGCTGGCATGAGTTCTCCAAAGCTGCCTGCTGTCTCAGGATCTGTCTCCAAAAAGAACCAGGGAGCGCTAACATGTTATGTTCTAGACTGATGAAGAAAATGCACATTAAACATAGTATAAACTCACTATGTTAAGTAATGTGAAGAGGATGCCTTTAGCTCCTATTGGGTTGGTTCCTTGATCAGTGCAATACAGAATCATTCATCTGGTTTGATGTAATGTCCTTCAAACACGTCAAAATGAGGCTCTGTAGTCTGTGTGGCCTCCACATGCCTGTATGACCTCACTACAACACCTGGGCATGCTCCTGATGAAGTGGCAGATGGTCTCCTGATGGATCTCCTCCCAGACTCCAGGACTAGAGCATCTGCCAACTCCTGGACAGTCTGTGGTGCAGTTGGTGGATGGAGTGAGACGTGATGTCCCAGATGTCCTCAAATGGATTCAGATCTGGGGAATGGGCGGGCCAGTCCACAGCATCAATGCCTTCGTCTTGCAGGAACTGCTGACACACTCCAGCCACATGAGGTCTAGCGCTGTCTTGCATTAGGAGGAACCCGGGGCCACCCGCACCAGCATTTAGTCTCACAAGGGGTCTGAGGATCTAATTTCAGCACCTAATGGCAGTCAGGCTACCTCTGCCGAGCACACGGGGGCTGTGCAGTCCCCCAAAGAAATGCCACCCACACCATTAGTCACCCACTGCCCAACCATCATGCTGGTGGATGTTTCAGGCAGCAGAAGGTTCTCCAATATGTCTCCAGACTCTGTCACAAGTACTTAGTGTGAACTTGCTTTCATCTGTGAAGAGCACAGGCCGCCAGTGGCAAAGTTGCCAAGCTTGGTGTTCTCTGGCAAATGCCAAACATCCTGCACGGTGTTGGGCTGTAAGCACAACCCCCACCTGTGGACGTCGAGCCCTCATACCACCCTCATGGAGTCAGTATCTGACCGTTTGAGCAGACGTGCATATTTGTGGCCTGCTGGAGGTCATTTTGCACAGCTCTGGCCTTTCTTTCCTACCCCACAGTACCTTTCCTTATCTTTTGTTTCCTACTCTTTTACTTAGTCTTTGATCACGGTTGTCTTTCTAGATAATTAATGTCATTTGTTCTGGGGCGAGTCACTGGCTCGGGTGCATTCTGGGACTGTCAGTTCACCAGTGTGCTGGCATGCTTCTTAACAAACACACCACTACAGCAAACATCTCAGTTGTACTTGTTGATTTCTTCAACAAAACACTGAACAAAACATGTCCTTGTGAGTGTGCTGCCTGGTGCTTTTACATTTTGTGGTAATTTGAGCAGCCCAGAAAGCATCCCATGAATTCAATTATGTTATTGTATCTGAACATGTGTACTAGTCATTAAATTAGATGGGAAAGAATGATTCAGGGTAAACAACTGCACCAAGGGAATTACATTTTTCTTCTCAACATGTAAAATGTCTGTTGATAAGCAATTTCTGAAACAGACATTATAAAAATCACATTAAACAGATGTGATTAACTTTTTATTCTAGCAAACATAACATCAATGATGACACAATCAGTCTTCATCAGAAGTGCTCAAATCACTCTCATCGTCTGAAACGTCCTCCTCCTCCTCCGAGTCCATTTCCAGGAGTGGTTGGTGGCTGAGGATTCTCTTGTACACGTCCTTTACTTTGAGCGTTTCAGCTTTCAGTTCACTTTGTTTTTAAACCAGGCTATGGAGTCCTTTCTGTGCATCCTCCGACATGCCAACAAGGGAGGCTGTAAAAACAACAAAACTATTAAATATAAGTAAAACAAACAAACAGACAAAAAAACTCACCTCATAAACAAGGAGTTAGGATCATGTAATAAACTTTTTTTAAGGGAGAAGGCAGTGTTAGCTAGCAACCCAAATATAGGTAAAAGATCCAGTAAGACTTTAGCATCTGCTATTATTTTCAATCAATTCATCACCAAATGTATAAATAAATAAAAGATGTGCTTACAGTCTGAGGAGATTGTCCCCAACACCACAGATCGCATTCGCAACACTGTCCAGTGATGCTGCATCTCCCTGCAAAGGATCATCTCCTCCTCTCTCAGGCGCCTCACAGCCATCACCTTCTCAAAGACCTTTCTCTTTGTCCGGAGGTCAGCAGCAGCTGCAGTTTAACAACATCAGATGGGAAAACATAGCAGCATATTATGATTCAAGAACAAAACATTCAACTGCTGCTCAGATACTGGGAGTTTGTTTAAAAAGGATATTTAGAAATCAAGAGCTTACGTTCACTTGTGCTCTGCCAGGGCCAAACGTCGCTCTGCATGAGGGCATCACTGGATACGATTTGCTTTGTTGCTTGTTTCCTTGTTGTAGTCGTCAACAGCAGCCGCCAAGCGTTTCTTCTCATCTAAGATGACCTTGCGAATTCTGTGTCGCCTCTTGTTGCTATCTGTAAATAATCATAAAAAGGAACACCTTCACATAATGCATATATTTACATTTTAATCTACACTCATCAATTCGTTTGCTAGAACAAATCACATCCAGCTTAAACAAACCTGGATCTGATTTTATTCTGTTTACAAAGTAGCTGTACAAGCTGTACAAACTGAGCATCAAACGGTCCGTTTCAAAGAAACTGTGACACCATTTTGTCTGTAAAGACTTTGTGTTCGCACTCTGATGATGACGACAAGCTCCTCTACTCGTGCCTGCAACGCTCCAAGGCTGCCATCAGTTTGATCCGTTTCTAAGTGAGAGGAATATTAATCAGAACACAGGATGAGTAACAGTCACCAAACTACAGTGGACTCTGTAATCACTGACTTGATGATATTCATTATAAGACATCTGGAGCCTTCATGTGCTGCATTATCATGAGATAACAAGTATGTTGGTGTTCAGCTTTATAAAACCAACTAGTACGACATCACTTCAACCCAGGTCCAATCCAATTTGATCAAACGCAACAACTCTGCCATCAATTCTGCTTTTACAAGCTTATTTTTCATTGTTTGTTGACACTGTCAGAAAGATCTTAACTCTAAGTTCTTTAATGAGGCCATGGTGGGTCCTGTTGTTATACACGAGTGCATTATATTGAGACTCACCTTCAGCCCATTGCTGCAGTGTGTCGTCATCCACACCCAGCTCATTTCTGCTCGCATTCAGGCTCTCCACTTGTTCTCTAAAGATCCTTATGATCTAAGAATACATTAATAAATGTCATTCATATGGACATTTTTAGAGTACTGGTGTTTCCCCCCCATTACCACACACATTAAAATGGGTGTTGAAAAAATGACCTTTAGATATCTCTGGCTCAAAGTGCGGCCCAGTTGTTCCACTTTCCTTTTGTTCCAGCCCAAAGCCAGGAGGCTCAGCATGTCTGTTCGCCCTGCATTTCAGTTAGTATACAAATAAGAATGAATGAGCAGGAGACTGAGTGGAATCTCACACACAGACACACACCTGCTTTAGACATGTACTTCGTTGTGATGGCCGCCCTAGACAGGAAACTGTTTACTTGTTCCACCTCTTCTCCAACTGTAGAACCGGCCCCATCCTGAAACGCACCTCCCCATTTGATCTATAGAAAGGAGGTCACAATACATGACTGCTGAATTCATTCAACCTTATAACAAAATGTCTTAAACGTATCCAAGACTACAAGCTGCAGTATACCTCGCACATCCAAGTGTGAGCTACTCAAAATGAAGTACACATTAAGATAAAGTCAAGTAAATAGTATTACGACAACACCAAGAGAAAAACAAAATAAATATCCACCCATCCAAATATGTATCCACACACACACACGTATGAGTATATGGTTATGGCGTTAACGTCATTTTAACAAGATTAACGCTGACAGCACTGATATATATGTGTATCTTACATCATTTGTGTGTCTCTGGATGTATTTCACAAACTCAGCAACTTCCTCATCTTTCTCAATGAAGACACCTTCAAAGTTCCCCTGCTCTGAAGTGCTGAACGAACACGGTGACAGTTGTTTGAAAAGAAACATCAAAATACAATTTTTGTACAAATCCATATTTGATTTATGTACACAATGCATAACGTACCTTGCATTTGATTGAAAGCGATAAAGCTTGCAGTTTCCATCAACTGAGACGGCGAGCATGTCTGGAGTGCAGGCAGGGCAGCTAAAGCATGGCTCCTTGCACATCCTGTCCACCTCACACTTTACAGCACTCCACTCCAAGAAACTTTTGCTGAAGGCATCAGCTGATATTCGGCCAGTCTTTTAAGTAGAGGACAAACAACAGAATATTCACGGACAGTCATCATAAACATTGATTTGCACAATTTCCTTAAACTTGACAAATTTAGAAACTCACCCTTCCAAAATGGGCTGTTCGTTCATCCAGCACTTTGACAAAGGCCTTAAGTGACATCCCTGCTGCAGCTTCTTAATGTCATAGAAAGACTGAAAGACATCCATTGAAAACAGGGTGCAGAAATTTAAGGTGCCAGGCCAATATCCACCACCCTGGAAGTCCTTAACTGAGGGGGACCACATTAGGCCACAGCTGGTGCAGCTCACCACTGGCAGTGCAAGGTTATAACGGCCTTTAGGAAGGATAAGGAGAAATCCAGTCATGGCTCAACAAAGACATTCATTTTTTCCCATGTTGTTTTCAAAGCGGTCTGGTAAATCCAAATGACCTTTGACAGGTGCCCACATATACTGCAGGCTGAGGGTAATTCAAAACAATGTAGCAATGTACAATTTGCAATAAAACCTGCAAACACATCTATTGTGTATGTACTGTGTGACAAAAGAGCAACTTACCATTTATGGTTACAAGAGCCACAATTGCACCGGGTGAAACCTCAACGTTACCTGCTGGGCAGTCACACACAGTCTGGTCTTTGCACAGGCAACAGCCGAACTAACATTAAAAACACACAATATATATAAAAAGAATTGGAAATTAAATGATACACAATAAATATACAATAACAGCACACACTCATAGTACATAGCAATAAATGCATAAGACTTAAAAACCGTACATATTGGATTGTGAAACTCTGATGAAGGCTGCAAAAACCCTCCTGTTACTGCCTCTCTGCTGTGCAGGACAAAGCGTGTGTGAACTGCAATATCACAGTCAGCACAAAGGAATGGAAGAGGCAGGCAGTCCAGACACCTCACAACTACTTGTTTGCCACACTGACACACACGGTGTGACTGTGGATCCAGAGTAGCTAACATATTGTCTATAAGACAAGGCCTGGCCTCTTTCCACTTTAGCAAGGACACCATGTTTCTGATCGCCCAGTGAGTAGCAGCTGACTCAGACAACGTCTCACAAGTCATGGCTGCGTCCTCTTCTCCATCCTCCAACAACTGAAGGAGCTCCTGACGAAGCACCTCAGTTCCACACACTAACAGAAAAAAAATAAAGAAACTCTTCCACAAAGTGAAAAACACTCTAGGCAGTATGTTTCTTAGGACTGCACAAAAGCCCTGCCTAACTCAACTATAACAACAAATATAAAAGTAAAGGAATCACAATATATACAAGAAGGTAAAGTACCTTTTGTTGGGTTGACACTGGCAACATAACTAGGTTCTTCACGTGGACACTGATGCTGATCTGCAGACACTGGGGGAAAAAGAGATTGAAGAATATTTACTTACTGAAATTCTTTGGTGAAAACAAGTTGTGAGATAAAATCAATGGTTGTGAGAACACTGACCACGTGGCAACTAGTACTTCGACTGGATGATGGTCTTTGAGGAATAAAATCTCCCTGTCTGTCAAGGGCGGCATCACTTACATTTTGATTAGATACCTTGAGTTTGTAAATGATCAGATTACATAATTGGAATACAATGTATCCAATTCAGGGTTGCAGGAGGATGAAGCCTATCCCAGCTGATACAGGACAAAGACAGGCTGCCAGTTTATTGCAGGGCTAACACGATATGTGTAACAGAAAATCCACTTAAATGTTTGATATTTCTTATAATAATCATAATTATGACTATTATTTAAAGGTTTCTTTAAATAATACATTTTGATTTTTTATAACCTCTAAAATATAAACCTGAGCTGTTTCAGATTCTGACCTCTGACCTCACTGCAGCTCCCTCTTGGAAGTACGTCTGCTTCTTGTCTACCCCCAGTGATGACCGCCTGCCCTTGATATCACGTACTGTACCTGAGGAACAAAAAAGGACAAACACTTGCCTTCATTTAAGAAGTACATTCATACAGAGGTAATCTATGGAAACACACTAGTTCACCCTTTGGGAGAAATCAGTTCCTGTGAAACATTTCTGTAAATGAACATCATGTGGAGAATGAATGAAATGAGTTCTTCAGGTGACTCAGCAGTCCCACACTGACAAATGAAATCTAGTTAAACTATTAAGCATATTTGCTCTTCTGAAATCTGTGTTAAACAACAACAAACATAAATTAGTAACAAAAATACAGCTGAGTAGAGGCTTTACAAACCACCAGCAGCCATAATGCTAAATTTTAATCTTCAAATGTTTCTGAGCCGTCTTCAACCTGCTTTTAACACATTAAAGTCCCACAGTCAATGCAGCCTGACTCAATCCTAGATGTTCAGCACACAGAGACACAGAGGTGCCGTTTAAAGTTTAGTGATAACCTGAGTCACTGATCATTTGCAGTATTACAGAGTCTGGCAGTCTTTGCATGATGTCCACGTCACTGTGAGTTTCTAGCTGACTCTCAGGTGTGACAGGTGTGCCAGCAGGAAAGAGTAATAATAACCTGCATCCTGAGGTTTGTCATGCAGGATTAAAGCAGCCAGGCTTTGTTCACACAGCTAGGATTGTATTTTACACTGACCCTGGGTCAGTATAAGTATCATACAGTTTAAACGAAGCACTGAAACTTGCACATATTTATTACAGATGCACTGAAGCTAATCGAGATATTTGCTGTCAGTCTGTGGCTGCGATTAAACACTTTACTGGAAACTTTATTAACTAGTAACTTCATCAGTCATGACAGAAGCTAATATTTCTGTGCTAACATCGTTTAAACAGTAACAGCTTTCCTCCAATATAAGCTAACGTTTACACCGTAACTTTAAGCTAGCACCATAAAGACGGTAAAACACGTAATAACATCTACAAATGCATCTTAAAGCTGTTATATTAGCACTCGGTGTATTACTAACATAACCACATTAACATTACTGACACTCGCTGACTTTTAATAGTCATTCTATAAATGCTGTCCGTTTAAATGGTCTTACCTGGTGGTCCATATGGTCCATAAGTGAAGCAGAGGGAGCCTGACCATGCGTCACACGTTTGACGAGTTGGGAGTGAGAACGTGTTGGGCTATAAGGAACACACTCACTTCCTGAGCCCTGGGCAATAAGAGACGTTTTGTGTTTTATGATTTATTGATATGTTTGATCCTTTCTGACCTGCGTTAATGAAGCAGTCATTAGAGCACCATGTCCGCTAGAATAGTTCTGTAGTTTGATGCTTGAGTCGTTGCAGACTTGTTGAAACTCCCTCACCCGTCAAAGCAGCGTCTTTGTTATTTGAGTCCAGCAGATGGCAGTGTTTCACTGTCTGACGGCTGTCTGAGGCTTCAGCTGGATTATCCGTTTTCATGTTTGATTAGAGGTTTGTGTGTGTGTGTGTGTGTGTGTGTGTGTGGGGGGGGGGGGGGGGGGGGGGGGTTTAGCCACGAGTTGTCCACGATAAAGCATATTGAATGGCCTGTCTAATATTGTTAGAATTCTCCTTTGGGTTAGTTTCATTACTCAATCGGGACATTTATTTGGAAAAAGAAAAAAAGAGGGGAAAAAAGGAAAAAAAAGAAAAGAATTAAAAATAAATAAATCCTCATAGTTTACATTTACAAATATCAATACTGAATGTTACGTCCCTCTGCAGCTTCTAATCGTCTCAGTGTTTTCAGCTGGTGCTAATTGGCCACACCTAGTCAGGTGTGGATAAAAGCATACCTGAGGCAAGCTTCCCGGCAGTGCACTAGTCTTTGCCTTGGTGGCACCAGCCATTTTAGCCAACCTGGTTTTCCATTTTAGGATGAAACCTCTTCTCACCCACACTCTGTTATTCATCTGTTTTTATGTTGTGGCTTTTGAGCCGGGTCGTAACATGAGTATAATCACACTGGAAGTACCAGCATCAGGAATGTGGCTTCTTCTTTTTGGATCTATAATATTTAGTCTGGTTAGTTATTGTTACTGTAACCAGTGCAAAATCTGCTCTGATGACTCAATGTTAATGTTTGAGCCCCTGAGCGCTAAAAGAAGTGTTTTGTAAAGTATTAAAACTACCTTTAATGGAAGGAAAAATGGATCACTGCTTCCTATAAGAGTTGGTTTTCTCTGTGTGTGTAGCCACTCTGTGCCTGGTGGACTTGGCTGGCAGTGAGCGAATGGTGAAGAGCCAGTCTCAGGGTGACCGTTTCAAAGAGATGACCGCCATCAACAGCTCACTGTCCAACCTGGGCGTCGTTATCGCCGCTCTGGCCAAAAAGGTCTGCAGCTGCAGTTTCTGTAGTCTTAGATGTCACACCTGCTTTCTTTACATTTACAGTATTAATGATTTTTTTGGCCTTTGTGTTCCAGGAGACTTACGTAGCTTACAGGAACTCGAAGCTCACGTACCTCCTTCAGGGATGTTTGGGGGGGAAACGGCAAAACGTGAGTTTGTTGACATCACAAATCTTTATAATGACGACACATAAAACTGAAGGAATTTATCCCCAAAAAATATTTAACAGCGTTTGATCTCATCACTTCAGATTGTGACTGTTTATTCTTTGGCACTAATTTTGGATGTCTTTATTTGCAGCTTGATGTTTGTTAACATTGCTCCGGAGCCCGACAGCTTTGGGGAAACTCTGAACTCATTGAGGTTTGCCAGCAAGGTCAGTGCAGTCTTGTTTCCAGTGTTCATTGGACAGAGTACATTAATGATGTCCTTACATCAGCTGTTTATGGTAAACCAAAGCCATACTCCATATCCATTTTAATACCTTGGTGTGTAATTCATACTCACACTTTGTCTGAAGAGTAGGGATGTTCCTGGCGTCTTATTTACTAGTCGACTAATCGAGGGGGAAATAATTAGACTAACCAACTAATGTAAAACTAAGGAACATTCAGATATTGAGTTGATTTTCAGAACTGATTAATAGAAACTGTCAAACTAGACGCAGAGGTATCTTAAACCATTTATCACATTCTGTTAAATACAAATGAAAATGCATTACTACAAAAGATGTTCTATTAAAATATGACAATCATTTGAGAATCTAAAAGTACGTCTAAGTGTGGCGAGAATGATTCAGGTAATACATTATACAGCCGTTTTCTAGTCAGGTTGTGGGGCAGCAGGAAGGACTACTCCTGACCACAGCTGATAGATGTAAACTGGCTAGCATGACCAAGGATGCTGGGGCCTCCTACTGGTAGGACGTGCCCAGCTGGAACAGCCTCCTGGCCAAGGTGGCTGTCACCTTTTGATGTGAAGGAGTAGTGACTCTACTCTGAGCCCCTCCCCCATTGACTTAACTGCTCTCCTAAAGGAGAGGTTTTCCACCTCTCAGGAAACTAATTTCCTCTGCGTGTATCTGCGATCTCAGTGTTAACAAGAAGATCAGGGTAGATTAATAGATTTATGGCGTTTCTCAACAACAGTGCACCATCTGGTGGTAGATCGCTGCCTAACATTTAGAACACAATGTACCAGCATTGGGCATCAATTAAAATGTTAACAATTAGATTGAACGACTGGTAAGTCTGATACAGACTAGTCACATAAATCCCTGATAGAGCCCACAGAAGTGGCCTGCACCATGTGTGTGGCTTGCTTTGCAGTTTAACCACCAAAACACTCGTCTGCAGTGGAATTTCTTTGAGCTAATCGATTCATTTATTTCATTTCTTCTTCTAATTAATGTGGAAAATGGTGGCAAAGGTGGCTGAAATGAGTGATTCCTAGAGTTACATGTCAGTTTACAGCATAGGGATTAAGTTTACAGTATAAATACCACTGAATTGTACAAGGATTTGAAGTTTCACTGTAACTTTAACATTTTTGACAATTGTGTTTTGTTTTCTCCCCCACAGGTGAACGACTGCGTCATCAGGACAGCGACTGCCAACAAAAAGTAGAATTATTAAAAAAAAAAACCCTGAGTTTTCTACTTTTTAGGTTCATCTCAGGTTTCCACGCTGAGTTGGTCATGACAGTTGCCATGTGTGATGGCATGCCACACATGGTAAGCTCCACACCTCACCACCCGTTGATTCACTTTAGTTTAATTTACAGTCACTACTTTAAAATATTCCATTTATTGTTCAATATCGTTTCTTTATTAAATGTATTCATTTTTCCATCACACCTTCCAATGTTGATATGGCGTGCACACATATTAACCTTGCAAGGTCAAAGCTCTGTTTTATGTTATATTAATACATCTTTGTTTGAGTTACCTGGGGGTTGGTGTCTCCTCCTGTCTGGCAAAGGGCTGGGAGACCTGAAGTACTACTGACAGCCTAATTGGATTGCACCACATGCAGGTGAACGACTGCGTCATCAGGACAACAAAGTAGAAATTATTAAAAGAGTAACTTTTATATATGTGCGTTTAAAGCAGGGTGTCAGTTTTTTGGGGTTTTTTCCACATATGTTGGATTATGTTTCTATATATATACTTTGTAAAGGGTATTTTAAATTAATGAAAATGAATAAATATGATTGTTTCTTTTACCTGTTTCGATGTCTGCCATATCATTAGTATGTTTCGTGGGAATTAAATGTTTATTTAACATGTACGCTATTACATTTACTCTAAAAATAAAACCAAATTTAAAGGCTGTTGCATTTTATTGCCTTTTTTCTTTCCTTTTCTTAAAGTTATGAAGGCATCTTGGATGCCATTTCAGTGAGTGGGGGTTAATGCCCCACACTCTTTTCTGTCACTGCTTTGAATGCACAGACTGGTCTTAATGTTGATCTTTGTAATCTTCAGTGTTACGACCCGGCTCAAAAGCCGCAACATAAAAACAGAGATGAATAGCAGAGTGTGGGTGAGAAGAGGTTTCATCCTAAAATGGAAAACCAGGTTGGCTAAAATGGCTGGTGCCACCAAAGCAAAGACTAGTGCACTGCCGGGAAGCTTGCCTCAGGTATGCTTTTATCCACACCTGACTAGGTGTGGCCAATTAGCACCAGCTGAAAACACTGAGCCGATTAGAAGCTGCAGAGGGACGTAACACCTCCTCCCTTAAAAGGGTTCCTCTAGGACCCAACACAAAAGAGCACAACAATCAAACCCAAAATGATTACCTGACCTGCTACAACACAAAAACCAAAAGTACACTAAAAACAACAAATCCCTTACTTTCCCTACCCTAGTCTTCAGTGGTGTACCAGGCTCGAGGCAACTTTAAACGCGAACTCGAGAGCAGGCAGCAGACCAGAGATATAGTCTCCTACCAAACTCTGAAGCGTACCCCCACCCAGGATAGCCACCAAACACAAACTAAAACAATAAAGCAAAACAACAAACAAGTGCTTCGATGGAAGGGCAGCACAGTCACCCAGCTGAAACACACTAAAGGGAGTTTGCTCAATTACACTGAACACCATCACTCACCCACTTAAAAGCAAAACAAACTGACAAGTCTCCACTAAAATGTCCAAAGATCCCGGACGAGCCACCACTTATGTTATGTATAGTGTGATTTGGCCATCTGAACACGCTACCTATATAAATCCCAGCAGGAAGCATGTTTTAATAGTGTGATTGGGCCATCTGAACACGCTACCTATATAAATCCCAGCAGGAAGCATGTTTTAATAGTGTGATTGGGTCATCTGAACACGCTACCTATATAAATCCCAGCAGGAAGCATGTTTTAATAGTGTGATTGGGTCATCTGAACACGCTACCTATATAAATCCCAGCAGGAAGCATGTTTTAATAGTGTGATTGGGTCATCTGAACACGCTACCTATATAAATCCCAGCAGGAAGCATGTTTTAATAGTGTGATTTGGCCATCTGAACACGCTACCTATATAAATCCCAGCAGGAAGCATGTTTTAATAGTGTGATTGGGTCATCTGAACACGCTACCTATATAAATCCCAGCAGGAAGCATGTTTTAATAGTGTGATTGGGCCATCTGAACACCCTACCTATATAAATCCAAGCAGGAAGCATGTTTTAATAGTGTGATTGGGTCATCTGAACACGCTACCTATATAAATCCCAGCAGGAAGCATGTTTTAATAGTGTGATTGGGCCATCTGAACACCCTACCTATATAAATCCAAGCAGGAAGCATGTTTTAATAGTGTGATTTGGCCATCTGAACACGCTACCTATATAAATCCCAGCAGGAAGCATGTTTTAATAGTGTGATTGGGTCATCTAAACACCCTACCTATATAAATCCCAGCAGGAAGCATGTTTTAATAGTGTGATTTGGCCATCTGAACACCCTACCTATATAAATCCAAGCAGGAAGCATGTTTTAATAGTGTGATTGGGTCATCTGAACACGCTACCTATATAAATCCCAGCAGGAAGCATGTTTTAATAGTGTGATTGGGCCATCTGAACACCCTACCTATATAAATCCAAGAAGGAAGCATGTTTTAATAGTGTGATTGGGTCATCTGAACATGCTACCTATATAAATCCAAGAAGGAAGCATGTTTTAATAGTGTGATTGGGCCATCTGAACACCCTACCTATATAAATCCAAGCAGGAAGCATGTTTTAATAGTGTGATTTGGCCATCTGAACACGCTACCTATATAAATCCCAGCAGGAAGCATGTTTTAATAGTGTGATTGGGTCATCTGAACACGCTACCTATATAAATCCCAGCAGGAAGCATGTTTTAATAGTGTGATTTGGCCATCTGAACACCCTACCTATATAAATCCAAGCAGGAAGCATGTTTTAATAGTGTGATTTGGCCATCTGAACATGCTACCTATATAAATCCCAGCAGGAAGCATGTTTTAATAGTGTGATTTGGCCATCTGAACACCCTACCTATATAAATCCAAGCAGGAAGCATGTTTTAATAGTGTGATTTGGCCATCTGAACATGCTACCTATATAAATCCCAGCAGGAAGCATGTTTTAATAGTGTGATTGGGTCATCTGAACACCCTACCTATATAAATCCCAGCAGGAAGCATGTTTTAATAGTGTGATTGGGCCATCTGAAGATCCTACCTATATAAATCCAAGCAGGAAGCATGTTTTAATAGTGTGATTGGGCCATCTGAACATGCTACCTATATAAATCCCAGCAGGAAGCATGTTTTAATAGTGTGATTGGGTCATCTGAACACCCTACCTATATAAATCCAAGCAGGAAGCATGTTTTAATAGTGTGATTGGGCCATCTGAACATGCTACCTATATAAATCCCAGCAGGAAGCATGTTTTAATAGTGTGATTGGGTCATCTGAACACCCTACCTATATAAATCCAAGCAGGAAGCATGTTTTAATAGTGTGATTGGGTCATCTGAACATGCTACCTATATAAATCCCAGCAGGAAGCATGTTTTAATAGTGTGATTGGGTCATCTGAACACCCTACCTATATAAATCCCAGCAGGAAGCATGTTTTAATAGTGTGATTGGGCCATCTGAACACCCTACCTATATAAATCCCAGCAGGAAGCATGTTTTAATAGTGTGATTGGGTCATCTGAACACGCTACCTATATAAATCCCAGCAGGAAGCATGTTTTAATAGTGTGATTGGGTCATCTGAACACACTACCTATATAAATCCCAGCAGGAAGCATGTTTTAATAGTGTGATTGGGCCATCTGAACACGCTACCTATATAAATCCCAGCAGGAAGCATGTTTTAATAGTGTGATTGGGTCATCTGAACACGCTACCTATATAAATCCAAGCAGGAAGCATGTTTTAATAGTGTGATTGGGTCATCTGAACATGCTACCTATATAAATCCAAGAAGGAAGCATGTTTTAATAGTGTGATTGGGCCATCTGAACATGCTACCTATATAAATCCCAGCAGGAAGCATGTTTTAATAGTGTGATTGGGTCATCTGAACATGCTACCTATATAAATCCCAGCAGGAAGCATGTTTTAATAGTGTGATTTGGCCATCTGAACATGCTACCTATATAAATCCAAGCAGGAAGCATGTTTTAATAGTGTGATTGGGTCATCTGAACACGCTACCTATATAAATCCCAGCAGGAAGCATGTTTTAATAGTGTGATTGGGTCATCTGAACATGCTACCTATATAAATCCCAGCAGGAAGCATGTTTTAATAGTGTGATTGGATCATCTGAACACGCTACCTATATAAATCCCAGCAGGAAGCATGTTTTAATAGTGTGATTGGGTCATCTGAACACGCTACCTATACAACGGAGCCATTAACCACGTAAGGTAGCATATTCTGATAAGTTAGCACGGATTGATAGACAAGACTATAAATTTACCCTACGGTAGGATGTTTTGACAGAACACCTTTTCTCGTCGCCAACATTTTTCTTTTGTTAAGCTTACTGTTATCAAGGCATGGTAAATGAACAGTAAACCTTGCCTGATGACTAATCTTCCCGTTTCCCTCTCATTGATTTATTTGGGTTGTCATGGCAGAAGTATTAAACGATGCCTTTTATTAGAACATAAGCATTTAAATGGAGTAATTGTATTTGAATTAGTTAAATATGAGTGGGCAACTCTGACCATGACAAGACTGCATTTGCTCTAAAGAATTAATAAAAAATTTAGACATATTGTTGTCATTATTTTTACTCTTCAATTTTATGTGTTTTTTTCTTTAAGATGGTATCAGAAGTTGCTCCTCCACCATGAAAAAACATCTGCATGTATTCTTTCACTACATCCACGATTCTCCTCTGTGGTCTTCCTCATTCATCCTGTTTGGAGCTTAATGTTCAACATCCTTTATCTGTTAAAATTACAGAAGGAGAAGAAAGTAATCATCAGAGCAGGAATCATGATAAATGATAAATAGATTACCAGTACATACAAACATAACACTTGCATAATTTCTCTGATAACGCTGCATTGGATGGGTTTATTAACTGTGGGCTGAAATTGTACTACAGTCTGCTGGTGAGGAACTTTTTTGAGTGTTGAATAAAATGTCCTCCACAATCTGTATATGAATTGTCATTAAAACCACAGAGATTCTTACTTATAAAGGAAAGAAAAGTGGGACAAAGCCCATCAACATATAGTGTATATTTTCTGAAACATTACAAAGATGCAGGTAATTCTGGGTTCACCTGAATTACAGATTAGACTGGTGGACAAACAGATGTTGTGTACAACTGGTGACAGCATCAGTGACAACAAATTAATCAGCGAGGCTGGAAGCAGAATTAGGAGGCGTCAGAGTCAGCGAGGGTCAGAGATCGACGAACAAATTGCCCACCTTCATGGATAATGCATCCCCCTCAGAAGGATTCAAAATTAGGCCACGAAGAACAGTTCAGGAAACCTATTTTGTTTCGTCTGTGAAACTGTATAAATAAAATGTAAATTATGTTAAAGGCAAACACATTTGTAAGCCATAAGAAACAAACATGCTTTGCATTATACCTTCAAACATCTGTATAGATTTGATACATTATTTATTAACTGAATTTGCTAACATGTCTTACATAGTGAGAGTATTTCTTTTACTGATGATATTTCAGTGATATGTATTTTTTATGACTAAATAATGCTCTATCGAACACCTGGCAATAACAGCAGGTGTGGCAATTTTGTAATTTGTTGTTTAAATTTGATATTATTTTAGGCAGTATATTTTCTTAGCCTTTGTCATACTCATGCTTAACCCTCTCAGGCTCAAATTAAGTTTTTGTTGCTAATGCACAAAAGAATACCTGCAGTGGTACTTCTGAGTAAAAAACTCATGAAATATGTATGTGGGGTGATCAGGTTGTTAGCTTTTAACTGTTGCATATCTGCAATGCCTGCCTTGAGAGGGTTAACAAAGCAATCTCAGAAACCGTACAGTAATCTTGGGTGTGTGGGGGTCACCCAGAGTCAGAATCTAGTGAGATATCAGTGTCACCTCTTACAGTTTTCCTGTAATCTGAGCTCAAATATGAGAAAATATAGAGTACAGTACAGTAAATTGGGTAAATTTTACTGTTAATTTTCTCTGAATCGTACAGTAATTTGGGCTGTGGATCACAGGGTGGAGTGGAAAAAGTGGAAAAGTGGAGATGAACCAAAACTGGGAGTGGATTGTGAAGTACAATAGTGTCAGGACCAGAGTTGGTCAAGTTACTTGAAAAAAGTAATCAGTAACTAATTACTGATTACTTCCCCCAAAAAGTAATCCTGTTACTTTACTGATTACTTATTTTCAAAAGTAATTAATTACTTAGTTACTTTTTAAAAACACGATTTACAACCTGAATAGGTGATAAAGCGATAGATCTTTCAGCCCAATTCTACTTTTTCTGCATAATTCATCATATAAAATGTAATCAAATGGAAAAGTCTCTCTTTTTAAAACTTGTTTAATTCGTTTTAATCTTTTAACTTTATGCATCAAGCAAAAATTGAATTATATGCAACATTCTCTGACTGGAAGAAATTTGTTTAATATTTAAACTTATTTTCTGCCCATTCCAGCACATAAAATAAAATCTTTTTTGTGTTTACACTCACTCTTTCAAATAGATGCAAGTAAAACACAGCAGAAAATAAATAAAATCAAAGACTAGCGGTCCTTTGGCTCTATTTTCACCTGTAAAGCAGGAGTAGGGTAGGCGGAGGTTTACCCTGGTGCAGGTGTGCCGCGGTCAGTTGAAGAATCCGCGAGTTTCTCTGTGACTTTCCCATTACGTCGTAGCGCACTCGGTGCTTGCTTGGAAGTTTAGGGGTTTTTTCGCCGTAAAAAGAAGTTTTCTTCCCACGCACAACGGACACTAATGTTTTTGTCACTTTTTATGGAATCAAACTCAAAGTAAGGTCAGAACTTCCACGCTTTAAATGCTGCACGCTCATACTCTCTCCCGCACTCGATATATTATCCATTGTTGATCTGCACACAGCTGTTGTCACGGACGTTGCACTTGCTTACGTCACCGTCATGAGACATTCTCGCAAAAAAATCACTGTTTTAGTAACGCAGCGTTCCTACGGGAAAGTAACGGTAATCTAATTATCGTTTTTGCAATAGTAATCCCTTACTTTACTTGTTACTTGAAAAAAGTAATCGGATTACAAGTAACGCGTTACTGCCCATCTCTGGTCAGGACACAAAAGACTGCATTTCCAAGCCAGTCGGCACCCGTACCGTAATATGCATAAGAATAGTGCAACAACATTTTAGGTGCGGCTAGCTTGACTGTGTCTTCGTAAGTGAGGGCTCACTTGACCGCGGTCAAATATGGTGCTGGAGAAACAAACTACAGAGAACTTCGTAAAGAGAGTATTGAGTGTTTTGGCGATGTAAATGGACTGGTTCTTATATAGTACTCAAAGCACTTTAAAGAACTTGCCTCATTCAGGTGTACGCAAGCACTTTTCTCTGTAAGCACTTTCTGTGTAATGTTCACACACATTCGGAGAGCAACTCTGGGTTGGTATCTTGCCCAGGGATATTTGGCATGCAGACGGGGATTGAAGCACCTTCCTCTACTACCTGAGCAAAGCCACCCCATGTTCGTCTGTGCACAGATTTCTTTCAATACAGTATTATCACAATTGTGCAAAAATACAGGCATGAAAGCTTAAAGTGCGCGATCACAATAAAGGTGACGCTCAGAGACTGACTGAGTGATCTGAGAACTCATCAGCCCTCATCACTGCCTTCACTTACTTGCTGCTATGTGTGCAAGAATAACACAGTTATGCAGTTATCTGGGACTCTCCACCATTTGACCTTAGAACTGAAGAAGCTTCTCGGATGAGAGGTGAAACGTCTTCAAGTAACTTAAAGAAGTCCAGACGCTTTTCTTTACAAGCTCCTTTGACCAGTTATGCAGTTACTTTCTCAGTCTGCTAGAGCCTCCACTTGAACGCAAGAACCTTCATTTATCTTCTCAAACGGAATTCAAAATGTTTTTTACAAATTGAAGGATTAAGATATAAATCGCAGAAGCATCGATCCACACATTCAAAGAAGAACAACCCAACAAACTCTTCATAAAACTCCAAGAGATATGAAAATCTTTATTTCTGTCTATTCTGTGTTGTTAATAACATCACATCTTCACATAGTAGCAAAAACATATTAAACAAACATTAATCTCAACATGCATACTGTACTTCAAGTTTCTCTCATGGAAAGGCCAGTGTTACTTTTATAGTACCCTTTCCATAAATATCATAAATATCTTTACCCATGTAGTGGAATTATTTTATTTTTTCATTTTAGTTAACAAGTATAATGTGACCACATTCACTTTTTATCAGGACAAGCTACACCACCACGGTGGTTAGCATACAATAACACCGCCTTGTTCTCAAAGCTTCTTGCTAACTGTACTTTTTTCTGAGATGTTCTCTTTAAGTAAGGATACTGAAAGTGTAAGCAGTGTATGCGGTCACATCACGTGCTTAAGGTTGTGTTAGCACTGATAATTCCTTCACAGTTCTTTAAAGATGCTGAAGTCATCATATCAGCTGTAAATGCAGTGCTGCTGCTGTCCTTACGCTATACTTTCAAGCATCACACTTTCTTACTGACCAGTTTATTTCCACTTTTTATGCTCTAGTATGGTGTGACTGAATGAAGTCAGCAAACCAAATTCTGTCCATCTGAGGATGAGAAGAAACTTGCATGAAATGGGAAGCATGAGATGAAGATGGCTCCTGTGCTTTAGACGTGGCACTGTTTCTGCCATTGTAAGTACGCTAATGCTTGAAAGATCCATTAAAAGTCTGACACTTCACTCTTCAGCTGGAGCGTCCATCAAGTTTTACATTCCAGGTTTCCTCGTTGGGATTACGACTCAGACGATGATGTGAAAAATTAGTTATTACATTAAACCCATAAAATCAACACTGGCAAAAAAGCCGTGCACTTCACAGAGCAGCTTTCTATGGCCGAGCAGCTCCTGCAGGTGTAAGGTGTAGGTGTCACAGCACTCTGGTCCAAAGAGGTTATGTGCAGCATGCAGACAGAAAATGGCTTTACAGAATATGACTGAATGTTGAGGCACCAAAACACACTCAGTCTGCCCCTCAGTCTGATCAAGAAGAAAACCTGACTGAGCGCTTCATAACATCAGTACGATGATGTCCCAGAGGCCATGTTCAGGTTATTCTCCTGTCCACACTGAGCGGGCGGATCAGTGGAGTCTGCATTAGCTTTAACAGAAAGGTCTGATTTAAGCAGGTAAGCTGAATAGACAAGAAAAGCTAGAAAGCTTTATCAACTATAACCCCAGCGAGGACCTTGACAGGTGTCTTGTGTACAGGTGAAGGCTGGACAGTCAGCAGGATACCTTCCTAACATTTGTCATTCCCAGCATTGAACCGTTTCCTGGCACAGCCTCAGTGAAACAGAGCATCGTTTCCACCCCACAGTTACAGACAGGCTGTGCTTTTCTTTGGTAACACCGTCGAATGAGCCCCGTGTCCTCTCTCAGTAGCTGCTTTCGTGTCCTGTCAGGATGTACAGGCTGCTCAGTGCTGACGGGTCATCAGTCGGTGTGCTCTGAAGGATGATGTCTCTGCACATTGTCAGCAAATGAGAAGGAGATGAGTTGTAAAGGAGAGCCAGAGAAAGGCAGTACTAACCTAAAGCCAGTGCCTCCACCTGCTTCTACTCCTCCCACCTCTAGTACTAACACTACTCTACTGATACTACAACCACTGTAGTTTGACTTTAATGCTACACACTGGTACAGTACTGGTACACTTACTGGAGTTTTACTCCTGTTCCTGCTCATCACCACGCCTACTACTTTTTTAAACTTTATGATAAGTGTGAACATTTACACAACAGCATACAAACAAGTTTAAAGTAGAAAAAAGGAAGCAAAGAGCTGAGAAATACATAAAACATAACACAGAAGAAAAAGAAACCTTTGCAGGGATTCCTTCTACACCCAGTTTGAGTAAAAACTAACTGAAACACAAGGAAAGAAGATAAGATCCACTAAAATAAGGGTTGTATAATAATACTTAGTACTGGCAGCCACCAGCGCTAAGCCTCAGCCTCCCAGTAGACACACCTATGGTACCGATTTAAAATCCTACATGTCTTTGTTCTCAGGTTATCACGTTCACAAACTTTGGTGTCCACGCTATTTGCCTGCCAGGCTGACAATGATTTAGATCACAGAAACATTTTTAAGCTGTTATTCCTGGTTTCACAGTGGAAAACTCCGGGTAACGTCCATTATCTTTGCTCCTGTATAAGACTTTCCTGAATGCTGAGGTTTGGTCTTCCACATGAAATTCAGTACTTTTGTTTCAGTTTCATTAATGATGCATTGATTTTGGACATCGATGTAATACATATGTGATACACGACAGTCTTTGAGTCCGTCCTTCTCATATATAATCCCACTGTTTTTGCACTTCAGATGATTCCAGTAATGACTGATTTAAAAAAGAAAAGTGAAATGTTTCTAATGAACTCACCACGATTCTTATTTCAAACTTCATTAAGAGCTGCTGGATCAACAGGGTGTCCTGGATTTGTTAGTAATATAATATAGTAATATATTATTATTAGTTTTAATTATTTAGTCAAAAATCAATTCCAGACTGCTCTGAGCAACATGCTGCAGCGAGAGTCCTGACAGGGACTAGAAACAGAACATTTATTGGCTCCCTGTTTTATCCAGAATAAAAGATTCAAAATCCTCACATAAAAGGTTTTGAATAATCAGCCCCTGTCTTATCTTAATGACCTTATAGTACCATATCACCCCATTAGAGCACTTCGTTCCAAGTATTTAAAAGTAAAATGGGAGCCAGACCCTTCGGTTTCCAGGCCCCTCTTGGTAAATGGTAAATGGACCGGTTCTTATATAGTGGTTTTCTACTCTGAGCACTCAAAGCTTGCCTCATTCACCCGTTCACACCCATTCATACTCTGACGGATGCACCGAAGAGCAACTTTCATGCAGGATATCTGGCATGTAGACGGGGAGTAGGTGACCTGCTCCCCCACCTGAACTACAGCCACCACTTCTGTGGAACCAGCTTCCAGTTTGGGTTTGGGAGACAGACACCCTCTCTACTTTTAACATTAGGCTTCAAACTTTCCTTTCTTCCCTGAATCCTCCCTTAGTGAGCCTAAGTCTAGGCTGCTGGTGGGTTCCCGTGATGCACCAAGTGTTTCTTCTTCAGTCGCCCTTTTCACTCACTATCTGTTTAAACACCTCTCTGCATTCAATCATTAGTTGAGAATATTCTCTGGCTCTCTTCCCCAGATTGTCTTTGTCCCGTCTTCCTCCTCTCACCCCCCAACCAATCGCAGCAGATGCCCGCCCCTCCCCCAGCCTGGTTCAGGTTTTCACCTGCTAAAAGGGAGTTTTTCACCTTTGTGCACCATAATTGCAGGGCCTTTACCTTACAATATACAGTGTCTTGAAGTGACTATTGTTGTGATTTGGCACTAGCATAAAGAAAATTAGCACTAAGGAAAGTAGTTTTCTGTACAAAGTGTCAGGTAGACGGTAGTTGGTAACTTTAATGGCTGTTTTTCTTTGGAGGGCTGCATGCAAACACATAGGCTGCATTTCCTAAATCCTTGGATCTGAGTAACCAACAGAACAAACACTCTAGTGTGACTCCTGCTTTAATGCTACCATTAATGCTAGCAGTATTCATGCTACTTCCACATGCTACTCTGAAAATCACTTCCAGGTCTATTAACAATAGTATCAAGAAAAATACTATCCTGATTACTTCTGATGTACTAGGATTACTAGTTTCTCACAGTGATTGATAGCTCTTGTCAGCATACAGTTAACATACCTGTTTGTTCCCAGAACTCTGAACACACGACTCTCATCTGTAATTTCTTGTGTTACCTGCACATAAAGTGAAAATTCACATGTGTAATGACTTAGAACTAATATGATAAGCACATGATACGAGCTCAGCCAACGTTGGATGAATTTACTAGTTCATCACCTCATCTGAATGGAAACTCCTCCCTTTGAGGCCATGCTTCCAGAACGCCAGCACACTATCCTGCAAGCAGACTGACAGAACAGGAGGTGTCACTCAGCTTTCAGGACACACATCAGCTCTCATTCACTTTGTTTGTCACATCATCATTTCTACCTAGTGTTTCAATGGGGAAGTCAAAGACTATTTCTGCAGCCAGCTGTCTGGATGGAAGTCCTTGCAGGTTCACGATCTTTACAGTTCCTGTCCAAACGGTACACAGATTGAGAATGAGCATGAAAGACATTTGAAGGATTCACAATATGCGAGGGGACTTACTTTCCAAGGTGATGAGAACAGTGTCTCGGTCCAGCTGGGTTACCTGCACGGCCCTGAGTGCTCCACTATCTCCTGACGCACGGAAAGAAGGAAGCTTGTTGCAACAAGTTGAAGCTTGAAGCTTCAGGAAGTCAGCAGAGACACGCAGAAACGGTCCTACCTGGCACTGGAACAGGAGCGCCGTTCAGCTCTATAATATCAAACCTGAGCTGTTGGCCGGTTGGTGGTTTATCATTACTACAGTCTCTCACTCCAACACACAGCTGAGAAGAGAATCTGGGAGTCTGATGGTGAGTTGCTGTGAAACAGTCACCAAGGAAAACAAAAAAAACTAAATAAATTCTCATGGATGGTTAAGTGATGCTTGTTAAACCTGAGCTGAACCTGTTCATACAACCGTCAAAAACAGCACAACAGAATTCTTGTATGATTATTAAATCTTGAGATTAAAGATAAACCGATGCCATCCATCCATCCATCCACCCACCCATCCATCCATCCACCCGTCCATCTGTTCGTCCAAACATCCATCCATCCATCCATCCATCCATCCATCCATCCATCCATCCATCCATCCATCCATCCATCCATCCACCCGTCCACCCATCCGTCCATCCATCCATCCACCCACCCACCCATCCCTCCATCCATCCATCCATCCATCCATCCATCCATCCATCCACCCGTCCATCCATCCATCCACCGTCCATCCATCCATCCATCCATCCATCCATCCATCCATCCCCTAACTGCACGTCTTTGGACTGATGCCACTTTTCCATAATGTTGTGGCACAGGCGTGTTTCTCCAAGCAGCACTGTGTTAGGACTGCAGACAGGCTTAACACAGAGCTCTGTTCTCACAGTACATACATTATCGTTATGAAATGTGCGAGACATTCACAAAAAAACTGTCAATTATCTGTGCTATGTGATCTAATGGTGCATGCTGGCGTTGAACTGTGTGCTGATAACACTGTTCCTGTAGCACAGAAAACACATGGTAACCATTCAGTTACACGAGCTTGGACCCAGAGAAGGTGCTGTTGGTGTTTTTGGACGGCGTTTATACAACGTTTCTTTTATTTAGTCTCTAAAATCTTGTTGGGCTTGAATAAAAAGTATGCATATGTTATTAAAAAAAATCAATTACATTCTTCAGCTTCAGATTTTGATATGCTGTCTGTCTACTTTTATGTAATTCAGGTCTAATGACTGGTTTGCATTGTGGAAATAGGGTTAGAGTTAGAAAGGAAGACATTTATTCAGGTGGCAAGTTCGACATATCTGTACAAACCTTTAGATGCATGAACTTTTGAAGAGGCTCATACCACAAGAGTAAAACCAGGCCAGATGGGACAGCCCCGCACAGATATGTGCTATCTGTGTATGGGTTTCTTGCTGAAACAGAGAGAGCAGGACTAAGTGTCTGCAGTTGTTCTCCGTGAACAAACAGACTGACCAGAGTAACTCGGCATTGCTTACCTACACTGCACCTCCTACAACCTTTAGTGTCAGGAATCTTTACAGATATGGTAAACTTTCTGTGGCCAACAGAGAATATCCAGGTCAGAACAAGCAGACAAAATTGGGTTTACAGTATCCTCCTTCCTCAAAATCAAGTGGTAGCATCATACATGACATTATTAACACTGCTGCACCTACAGCTCCTGTTTCCCTGCATCTGTGATGGCGTGTCGTACCTGAGACTGATCCGCTCAGTGAGGCGGTTGGTGCTGAGCGACAGGCTGCTGTGTTTCTTGTGCAGATGTCCTTTCTGTTCAAACAGAGCTGGCAGGCTGTGCGAGTAAAGCTGGGCCGACTTGCCTGCAGGATGGAGCCTTTTTAGAGCAGCATATTATCGAGTGGACACAATGTTCTCCATTTGTGTCACGCTGTTTGTTACCTGATACGGACATCAGCACATTGTTCAGAACATATAGCCATATACATCGCTGAGGGAGGAGCTGTGGGGAAAAGACAAGCAGTTCACTGAGACTTCAAACATCCAGCTTCAGTCATCAGACTGTTCCAGAAACATCATTTCCTGGTTTTCAGTGCTCCTCCTTTCATCAGGAGCTGCACTCCTTACTCAGGTTTTTCAGGGTGATGCGATTAATGACTTGCACTTTTTTGTTATTACTTGCATTTTTACACAATGCTCTTCTACTCTGACTGACACTTTCAACTACCAGCTTGACCGCGCATCACTCTTTTCTACCTCAAAACGACCAGTTACACATGTCTGCATGAATTCTGCACGCACGTTTGCACTACAAGCTGCACACAAACACGTGCGCACATCCATGATTTACTCCAAACCTAACTTAACCTTCGGCGCTTTTTAACTTTCAACCCCTTCAGTGGAAACATTGGGAGAAGTTTGCCAATGTGGTATTATAATATTATTTTATGCCACGTTAGACCCCTAATTGAAGATTGTGAATTATTATGTAGTTTTAGTTTGCATTATTCTCCTGAATTAGAAGAAGCTGATAACTATTGCATTTGTTAAACTGATTTGCATTACATTAGACTGCTGATTTATTGTGAATGAATGATATTGTTTCATGATGCATTATACTGCTGAGTTATAAGAAATACTGTTCGCAGAAAGTCATCGCCTTATTTGTCTGATTAGAAGAGAACAGAACATGCTGGAGTTTTCTGCCCCATCTCAGCAGGAGCAGATAAACAGGGAGCCAAGGTCGTAGCTTAGGCGCCGTGTGAGAGAAAGCATGTGAATGTTTAGGCTTTTATGATAAGGTGGAGGCACCAGAGGCTATAAGAGTTTGAGCAATGCTCCACCATTTTGAGATCTGATGCTGTCTACGTACGGTGTCCATCTCCCACACGTGTGATCATTAAAATCATCGTTTGACTCAACCCGGTCGGACCAGTGTTGTTATTGTGGTTTTTCCTCTTGTATCCATCCCCAATATTTGAATCCGTAACACCATCAAACTCCTCGTTGGAGGGGAGAGGGAGGGGAAACAGGAGGACAAAGGATGGCGGGAACAACTGAGCTGTAGTGCTTTTTTTTTTTTCAACTGTGCAATATTTGCAATATTGTTTTATATTCGACCTTTTTTGTGGGGCAAATAATATTGACACCAGTCATTTTGTGTTTTTCTGAAATTATTCTGTTATTGTGTACAAAATATTAAAAAAATTCAGCTATATATGTTGATGCATGCTTTTATTACCAGTCGCATTGATTGCTGTAACGCCCTGCTCTCTGGTCTCCCCAAAAAGAATATATCACCCTTACAACTTTTACAAAACTGCAGCTCGTGTGCTGACGAAGACCAGAGGGTGGGCCCACAGTACACCGGTTTTAGAATCGCTGCATTGGCTCCCCGTGTATTTCAGGATCGATTTTAAAGTTCTTTTATTGGTTTTTAAATGTCTTAATGGTCTGCTTCTCTCAATGACTATCGCCCTGTAGCCCTCACCTCAGTAGTGATGAAGTGCTTTGAACGCCTGGTCAGAGACTTCATCATTTCTTCACTACCAGACACACTGGACCCACTACAGTTCGCTTACCGTCCAAATCGTTCCACAGACGATGCCATCTCTCATCTCCTCCACACATCACTCACTCACTTGGACACTAGAAGGGGGAATTATGTTAAAATGCTCTTCATAGACTACAGCTCTGCATTTAATACCATAATTCCCTCCACACTCACCACCAAGCTGGAGCATCTGGGACTCAGCTCATCTATGTGTCAGTGGATCTCCAACTTCCTAACTGGCAGACCACAGGCAGTAAGGATGGGCGGACATGTCTCAGCCTCCACCACTCTCAGCACTGGAGCCCCCCAGGGGTGTGTTCTGAGCCCCCTGCTGTACTCTCTGTACACATATGACTGCGTGGCCACTACCAGCTCCACCACCATCATCAAGTTTGCTGACGACACCGTCGTGGCGGGCCTGATCTCTGATAACAACGAGACGGCCTACCTGAAGGAGATTAGGAATCTGGAGAACTGGTGCCAGAGGAACAACCTCCTTCTAAACGTCAGTAAGACAAAGGAGCTGATAGTGGACTTCAGCACTAAGCAGGAGAGGAACTACCAGACCCCTGTCATCAACGAGTGCCCAGTGGAGAGAGTGGACAGCTTCAAATACCTCGGAGTTCACATCACGCTGGACCTGTCATGGTCCTGTCACATCAACACCGTGGTGAAAAAGGCCCGACAGCGTCTCTACCACCTCAGACGCTTGAGAGACTTCCAACTGCCCTCCAAGGTGCTCAGGAACTTTTACTCGTGCACCATAGAGAGCATCCTGGCGGGAAACATCTTAACCTGGTTCGGGAACAGCACCATGCAGGACAGACGAGCTCTACAGAGGGTTGTGCGGTCAGCTGAGCGCACCATCCGCTCCGAGCTCCCTGACCTGCACTCAATCTACAGCAGGCGGTGCTGGACCAAGGCCAGGAAGATCGTGAAGGACCTCAGCCATCCCAACAACAGACTGTTCTCTCTGCTGAGGTCAGGAAAGCGATTCCGCTCCCTGAAGACCAACACAGAGAGACTGAGGAGGAGCTTCTTCCCGCAGGCGATACGGTCTCTCAATCACACCACCACACAGTACTGACCCACACATATGGTTCTTACACACACACTGGACTTTCTGGACATTGTTTTCACTTCATCACTTAAATCACTTTAAGCATATTTGCACTGCACAAGACATAATGTGGATTGCACAACACTGGTCACTATATTCTTCATTTCCAGTTAATACTTGTACAGCTGCTGTTATTGTGTATATATTTATTTATTTATATTTCTTCATACATTCTTATATAGTTCTATATTGTGTATTTTGTTGTACAGTTATTTTATTTTCAACTTTAATTTATATATTTTATCTTATTCTCCCAGTTAAATTTACCCTTCATTCTAATTTGTGTTGTACAGTTATTTCATTTTTAACCTTAATTTATATCTTATTCCCTCCTAGTTAAATTTACCCTTTTTAATTTTTCCTATTTATTTCCTATTTATTTCCTTTTTTTTCTTCTTTAGGTCACGAGCAGTTGTCCAAGCATTTCACTGCATATCGTACTGTGTATGACTGTGTGCGTGAAAAATAAAATTTGAATTTGAATTTGATTTGGGCCGTCTTATCTCTCAGATCTGCTTTTACCATATGAACCCTCGCGGACCTTGAGGTCCTCTGGTACTGGCCTTTTGACTGTTCCCAAAGACAGCACACATACTCACGGAGAGGCAGCTTTTCAGTGGTATGGTCCTCGTCTGTGGAACAGCCTGCCGGAGGAGCTCAGGGCCGCAGAGAACGTACATGTTTTTAAGAACAGGCTCAAGACCACCTTTTTAATTTATCTTTCACCTAACGTTTATTTATTTTATGCTTATTTATTCTATCCTGTTATTCTATTTATTAATTTAGGTTTTACCTAATATTTATTGATTTTATTCTTACTCATTTTTTATCTTCTTACTATTTCTATTGTATCCCGTTCTTATTTACTTTATCTTTTTACCCTGTATATATCCTATTGTGACATATCTCCAGTGTTTCCTCGGAAGGGGCTCTCTGCACCGGGGCTGTGATCGACCGTGGCTGCTGGGGCTCTGGGGGTCCTCTCAGCCTGGCTGGGGGGGGGGGATATGGGTGCATTCATGATTGTTTATGTTAATGAGAGTGTGGGGGGTTAGTTGGAGGGCGGGGTGGGGTGCTTTTAACCATGTAAAGCACTTTGTGCTACTTTTTTTGTATGAAAAGTGCTTTATAAATAAAGATTGATTGATTGATTAATTTCCCAGCTTTGGTCATTATATACAGTATTTTGGAGACAGAGAGTTACAGACTCTCTCCCAGACCACAGACTCATAATACAAGTCAGAGCTTTATAAAAAAAAAAAGTTGTGTTTTCTAAATTGGAGTTCAAGTTATTTGTACTTCCAATAGTGTTAACATACTACACAGGTCATGAACAAGATTTCTTTTACATTTTCATTGTAAATGGGCTGAAGCAGTTCATTAAAAGTAGTCTAACATAAATGTAAACGCTGTAATTTGATTATTTTAATAAACCATGAAACTTGGATGGATTCGATGCCGGCGTGACCACAGTGCACACGTCTGCTGTCGCTCACAGTGGTCCAAGGAACCGCTCAGGGAGTTTGTGTGTTCGCTCAGACACCTGAAAAATTAGAGGGAACATTGAGCCTATGACATTCAATACCCAGTTATTAAAATGTTAAGTGTAAATCATCCGCAGCCCACAATAGCAGCTGAATTTACTACGATTTCAGATCTTTTTACACGTCAATAAGAAACCACCGATGTGTAAAACAGGCTGACAACAGAATGACGTAAACCACACTGCTGCAGCTGTGCAGCTCTCAGGTTTATCTATTGTTTCTCTGTGTGGCCAGCAGGGGGAGGTGTTTTTTTTTTTTTTTTAATATTAATGAAAACATTTTTCATGAAAGTTGCAAATTTGTTATCTGTTTTTATGACATTTTTCACTGTGGATTACAACAACATCAACATTAGAAAATGAAATACATTCATAGTAGGTGATCATTAATCACTATTATTGGCACTATTAAAGGGCCCCAAAAATCAAACTTTGCTTAGGGCACCACGGAGGGCCAAACCTTTTTACACTTCAACGATTGTACACAAAATACAATCATCCATCCTTCTATCTATTTATTTTTGTCCACTTATATAATTCAGCATCACAGGGAAGCTGGATCCCAGTTGTTTTTCACAGAGGGCCAAGCAGTGGAGGGAGCTGCCGACCTCCCAGCAATACATGTAAAAGCTTTATTTTATGCTGACTCTGGTCATCTTTATCTATCATAAAAATTTGAAACACGTAAGTGTGGCAAATATGCAAATAGCTAAGAAATCAGGTTGGGGTAAATCGTTTCTCACTGCACTTCTGTTAGGCGACTGAATAAAAACACAAAGTCAGCAGTCTGGCTATGAATGTCTTTAATGTTTCCAAGATCAGAATCACATCAGGGTGTACAACCTCACCCCTGGCGCCGTTGCCCACCTCTCAATTTTAAATACACGTAGACATTGAGGGGTACCAGGAGGGGCTATGCGCTTACCTGCTGCTGAGTAATTGCATATGAGAGCATGAGGGTGGGAATGGATGTTTGTATCTGTGTGTGCCTGTTTGTCTGTGTCCATATGTCAGGTCGGGTATCAGACGCCACCTCTCTGGGGACATCTCAGGCCCTCCAAGGTATGGAGGCCTATCTCCCCCCACCACTCCCCCTGCCAGTGGCAGACGCCCTCAGACATCGGTG